GTCCTGGTGTTCTCACCCTGCTCCTGGGGTCCCCAGTTCCTGGGGTCCCCATTCCCATTCCTGCTGTTCCCATCCCTACTCCCAGTGCCCCCATCCCTGTCCCCAGTGTCCCCATCCCTGTCCCCGATGTCCCCATCCCTGTCCCCGATGTCCCCACTCCCACTCCAGGCTCCCAGAGAGGAACTGCTGGACACTGGAGGAGGAACCCGGATTTCTTGCCCCAGAACTAAAGCATCAGGAATATTTGTGGGTTTTGGCTCTAAAACATTGGAAAACAGGAAATCGATCTGTTAGCAAGAGCTGTGGGGTGGGTGGCAGCAGTGGGATGAGCTCTGCTGGCAGCTCTAGGCTTTCCCGGGAAGAGGGAAAGGGGCGGATCCAGCTCCGTGGATCACTCCAGCGGTGATTCCTGCCAGGATGAGAGAGGGTCACGGTGTCACCCTGTCCCTGTCCCCATTCCACAGGATGGACCTGGCTGGAGCCCATGGGGAGCAGGAGCTGCTCCAGAATCCCACCTGATCCCACCTCAATCCTGCTCTATCCATACCACCTGATCCTGCTCCATCCATCCCACCTGATCCTGCCACATTCATCCTGCCCCAATCCTTCTCCAGAATCCCACCTGATCCTGCTTGATCCATTCTGCCCCAGTCCCTCTCTGGAATCCCAACTTGATCCTGCTTCATCCATTCTGCACCAATCCTGCTCCATCCATCCCACCTGATCTTGCCACACCCACCCTGTCCCAATCCCTCTCTGGAATCCCAACCTGATCTTGCCCCAATCCTGCTCCATCCATCCCACCCAATTCCATACTGAAATCCCTCCCTGATTCCACTCCATCCATCCATCCATCCATCCATCCATCCACCCTACCCAATCCTGACACATCCACCCTGCTCCAATCCCTCTCGGGAATCCCAACCTGATCCTGCTCCATCCATCCCAACTAATCCCACACTGGAATCCTGCCTTGATCCAGAATCCCACCTGATCCCACCCCATCCCTCCTGCCCCAATCCTGCTCCATTCCATCCCACCTGATTCTTGTCTGGAATCCAGCCCTGATCCCTCTCCATCCATTCCACACCAGTCCTGCTCCATCCATCCCACCTGATCCAGAATCCAGCACTGATCCCACTCAACAATTCCATCTGATCCTGCTCTGGATCCCTGCTCTGATCCAGAATCCCTCCCTGATCCCAGTCCATCCGTCCTGCCTCGATCCCCCTCTGGAATCCTACCCCAATCCCACTCCATACGTGTGATTCAGATGTTGATTCCCATGTTCTTTCCTGCAGAAAGAGAAGATCCGTGAGATTCCAGCATGGATCACACACCGGGATTAACCCCAGGATCCATCCTGGGATGCACAAAGAGGGGATTCAGAGCTGGATCCACCACTGGAACTCACCGGCTGGCGGGTTGTATCCAATCCTGTCCCTCCTCCCTGTGGAAAAACAGCAGGATCAGTGTGGGTGCTGCATTCCCAGAACGGTGCTGGGTGGATCCGTGCCCCTTCCCGACCCCCATCCCGTGTGTTACCGGATTGGAGCCTCCAGATACCAAATCCAATGAGGACAAGGATGAGGACGGCAGCGATGACGGACACAGCGATCACCATGTCGAGATTCCCACCATATGTCGGCTCTGGGAAACGCGGGATGGTGAGGAGGGGAAGCGGAATCCCCATTCCAGAATTCCAAATCCCCAGTTCCCACATTCCCAGCCTCACCCCAAGCGAAGATCCCGGGCTCCAGCATTCCGGGATGCTCCACCCGGCACCGGTACTGCTCCCACTCCTCCGGCAGCGCCTCGATCCTGGCCCAGGTGTGGAAGGTGCCGTCGCTGTTGGGAACGATCCCACCCCACTCCGTCTCCTGATCCCAGATTTCACCCCCCTTCATCCAGTTGACTGTGATGATGTTGGGATAGAATCCGTACACATGGCAGGATAGGATCAGTGTCCCATGTTCCTCTTTTCCGGACACATGGACGTCAGGGGCCACTGGAATGGAATAATGGTGGAACTCATGCATGGAATTCCATGGGAATGGGATGGGGGCGAGATCTGACCATGGAATTCCATGGGAATGGGATGGGAGCGAGATCTGACCATGGAATTCTATGGGAATGGGATGGGGGCAAGATCTGCCCATGGAATTCCGTGGGAATGGGATGGGAGTGAGATCTGCCCATGGAATTCCATGGGAAAGGGATGGGGGTGAGATCTGACCATGGAATTCTATGGGAATGGGATTGGGTGAGATCTGCCCACAGAATTCCATAGGAATGGGAATGGGATGAGAATGAGATCTGCCCATGGAATTCCATGGGAATGGGATGATGGAGATATCCATACATGGAATGCCCACTGGAATGGGACAGTGGCAATATCCACCCATGGAATTCCCATAGGAATTATGGCGTTCCCAAATCCCACCCACCTTTGCGCTCCAGCTCTTTCTGCCCATATCTGACGTATTTCCGGAGCCATTCTGGGCAGACGTGTTTCAGGTTATTCTCCTGCCTCTCAACCTCGTTCTCATCTTCCCAGTGCCTCCGGGTGATCTCAGCAGCGTCGTCGGCCGCCACGAAGCTCTTGGATCCCAGCTCGAAGGAGATGAAATCCCGCCCATCATAGCCGAGCCGCTGGGATCCACGGACGCTCCCGTCAGACAGGAGATCACAGCTGTAAAGCCACTGTATGGTGTGGAGACCTGGGGGAATTGTACCCAGAGAGACCCATGGAATTGTGTCCCAGCCCCACAGATCCCACCCCAGCACCATGGATCCCCCATCCCTGCCCTACAGTTCCCATTCCAGCCACATAGATCCTAGCCCCATGGACCTCCATCCCAGTCCCATGGCTATCCACCCCAGGCCCACAGTTCCCATTCCAGCTGCACAGGTCCCATCCCAGCCCCATTGGATCCCCCATTCCAGCTCTACAGATCCCATCCCAGCCCCACAGATCCCATCCCAGTCCATGGATCTCCATCCCAACCCTACAGTTCCCATCCCAGCCCCACGGATCTCCATCCCAGCCCCACAGATCCCATCCCAGCCCCACAATTCCCATCCCAGCCCCACAGATCCCATCCCAGCCCCACAGATCCCCCCACTCACCCCCGCTCTGGTTGTACCGGTGCCGCAGCGTCTCCAGGTTCCTGGCATCCACGTGCTGGTGCCCCTGACAGATCTGGGTCTGGCGCTCCCAATATCCCGGCTCAGCTCCCTCCTCCATCCACTGCGTCTGCGGCTCCACCCGGCCCCGCTCGCTGTCGTAGCGCGTGAAGGGGATCCCGTCCACGAACCCCAAAGCCATGAACTGGGGGACCCCCAGGCTGGGCTCTGACACCGCCACAGACAGGTAATGCAGGGAATGGAGAACTGGGGGGACACAGAAATTTGGGGGGGACTGAGGGGGTCATGGATCAATGAAAGGGGAACTGGGAGAGCCAGGAAGGGGTTTGGGGATCCTGGGGACAAGGAAAGGGGGTCCAGGGGTTGGGAGAGGTGGGGTGGACAGGAAAGGGCGTGCAGGGGGGTCCTGGTGTCCAGGGGCTCAGAGGGTTCCAGGGTTATGGAAGGGGGGTGCAGGGACTGGGAGAGGTGGGGTGGGGGTTCCAGCAGGTCCCTGTGCCCAGGAAAGGGGGTCCAGGGGTCCCCAGTGCCAAGGAAAGGGGTCACGAGGTGGGGAGACCTGGGATGGCTGGAATGGGGGGCTCGGGGGTCCTTGATGCAGAGGAAAGGGGGGGTGAGAGCTGAGAAAAGCAGGAATGGGGGTCTGGGGGGTCTCAGGGTGAAGGAAAAGAGGGGGTCTGGGGACTGAGAAAGGCGGGATGGATGGGAAAGGGGGTGCGGGGGGCGGATTGGTACAGGATAAGGGAGTGCATGGGGGGCTCCCAGTGCCTGAAACTGGAAACTCAGGGCTCAGAATCCCCCCTGGGACCCTGCACGAACCCCCAGGGACCCTGCCAGACCCCCTGGGACCCCCTGCATGACGACCAGGGGGTGAAGAACTGGGGGGACGCAGAGATTGGGGGGGTCAGGAAGTGGAACCGGGAGAGCCGGGAATGTTCCAAGGTTCAAGGAAGGGGCTGGGAGAGGAGCGATGGGGGATCCAGGGGGATCCTGTGACCACAAAAGGGGGTCCAGGGGCCACTGAGGTTGAGAAACGCGGGGTCCAGGAGCTGGGAAAGGCAGGAATGGAGGCTGGGGCAGGGAGAGGCGGGCGGATCCCGGGGACGCAGTTTGGGAGACGGGAAAAGGGAAAGTGACCAAGGGAAAACGGTGAGGAGGGGACGCGGGGAAAGGGGAATTCAAGCGAGTTCATCCGGACCCCACTGGATCCCTGCTGAGACCCCCCGAGACCCCTGGGACCCTCTGGGACCCCGTTTCGGGAAAAGGCGGGAGTGGAAAACGGGGTGGACACGGAAATTCGGGAGATCCGGGGGGTCCGAAAACCGAGGAGAAGGGCGGGTCTGGTAAAAGCGGTATGCAGGAGGGTGCCAGAGCACTGGCGGGGGTGTGGGGGGGGTCCCAGTCAAGGATAAGGGGGTGCAGGGGGTGCCGGTGACCAGGAATGGAGGTTTAGGGGGTCCCGGTGCCCGGGAACTGCGGTTCAGGGTGGTCCCGGATTCAGGGGGTCCCACTCACCTCTCGGCGGGCCACCCGGGTCCCCCAGGATCCCCTGCAGCCCCAAGAGGAGCGCCAGAGCCAGCGCTGGACCCATGGAGCCGCTCCGCTGTGAGTGTTCCGGCGGTCAGCGCTGACCTCTGCTCAGAGTTTTTGAATTCGCGCGGGCAAAGCCGCCTCCGGCCCGGCATTGGCGCCGCTATTTCCCGCTCGCCAGTGGCAGCCCGATGTGCCAGCGATGTCAACAGCCCCGGGCGCAGATCCCGGGTTCTCGGGTTAGGACGCAGAAGAGGACGAGCGCGAGGCGGGGCTGGGGGGAGAGGACGGGAGAATTCCAGAGAATCCCTCTGGATCCCTCTGGATCCCTCTGGATCCCTCTGGATCCCCGCTGAGGCCGCCCTGGAGCCCTCTGGGAACCACCTGGGACCCACCTGGGACCCCGCTTGAGAAAGCGGCGGGTGTGGAGAACTGGGGGGACCCGGAAATTTGGGAGATCTGGGGGTGCAAAGGTGAAGGAAAAGGGCGGCTCGGGGGTCTGGGAAGGGCGGGATGGCCGGGAACGGGGGGCGGGGGGTCCCAGAACACGGGAAGGGGGTCCAGGAGGGGGTTCCAGTCCCGGAGAAGGGGGTGCAGGGGGTCCCCATGCCCAGGAACGGAGGTTCAGGGGGTCCCGGTGCCCGGGAACTGCGGTTCAGGGTGGTCCCGGATTCAGGGGGTCCCACTCACCTCTCGGCGGGCCACCCGGGTCCCCCAGGATCCCCTGCAGCCCCAAGAGGAGCGCCA